TCCTCCTCTCTCCTCATCCATCATCAGCACCATCATCGTCAGCATCCTCTTTATCATCATTATCAGCATTATCAGCATCAGCATCATCATCATCATCATCATCATCATCATCATCATCATCATCATCATCATCATCAGCATCAGCATCAGCATCAGCATCAGCATCAGCATCAGCATCATCGCCATCCCCCGTAGCCATATGGGCTCCAGATGTTTTCGCTCCGTGGCCGGGCACGGAGGCCCTTGGTCCAGGGCCAGCGCAGGACCCCTTTCCACATCTTCCTCGCGACCGCGAGGTCGAGCTTCATGTCCCCCGCCGCTGCATTCGCCTGCAGTTGGCTTTCATACCATGCGCCGTCTGTACCTGAGGCTGGCGCGGGCCTCATCTCTCGCACTTCGACATGGGCACTCCCTTGAGTTCGGTTGCAATCGACGGTGGAGGTAAAGGTTCCGATGGCAAGGCAGACCCGTGGGCAATTGGAGCCGCCAAACTTTTCGCAGCAGGACTTCCCGCAAATCAGCGAAAAGAACTTCAATATTTACTTCGGCAACAGCTGGACAAAGCCACCGCCGCTTTCGAGATCACGGCCAAGCAAGTCACTGCCCAAGCTCGAGATCAATTCATCGAAACCATCACCAGGACAAGACAAGTGTGAACGAGACGTCGCATTGCTCAAGAATCGTGCCGACTGAGCAGAACCCCTCAATGCTGAACTACAAGGAAGTGACGCCTCCATCAAGCGCTCCATCGCCGCGGCTGAAGCTCTTCGCCCCTCCATTGTCATCAATGCACTGGGATCGAGCCCCACATGCTGCTACAGTCTGGTGCGGAGCTGGAGCTGAGTTCGACGCTGGCACGCTCAAGAACACCCTTACCGATTGGTTTCAAGCAGCTGCCGTCGACATCAACGGGACTCGCCTGGTCCTGAAAAGAGAATGACACTTACGATCGCTGGCGGTGATGTCCTTGCTCTTCCCCTCGCTGCTGCTCTACACAAAGCCCTTCGAATGTGATTCGGCTGGCGCAGATGATCCGCCCGGTCCTGCCAAGGCCCCGCGCCGCTCCTCGTCTCCGCCGTCAAGTCCCGCGAATTTCGCCAGGAAGTCGAAGTCGAAACTCAGCAAACCCATCAGCGCAAAGCACCTCCAGCCCCCAGCTCGAGGTCAGGATCCACCGCGCGCACGGCTACCTCGCGGTCAGCGGTCCCCCCATCGTGCCCGTCATTGCTGGGGCTACTCCTGAGGCGGCTACCAAAGTGATGTTGCCGCTCCTGCTGGCATTCCTGCCGAAGAACACGACGTCGTTGTCGCCGAGCTTGCCGCGGCCTTCGCAGATCCGACGGCTGCCGAGCAGCGGTTTCAGCACCCGTTGGTCCCCCTGGCTCATCAAGCAGCAGTCCGACGGCCTCAACGCCGTCTCGTGGAACACTCGGGCACGACTGGGTCCATCACCTGCTCGGCGCTCGCTCACATGTGACATCCCCCTGCCGCGCATGAGGCAGCGCACGCAGATCGCGCTGCAGGAGACTCACGGCAATTTCGCAGACCTTCAGATCTTCGCTGAGCCCACCGACCACGACTACAAAGCGCCCCGCTCAGCCTGCAACGGACACGGGGAGACCGCTGGTGGGGCCGGCTTCCGAGTTCCATGCGACAAGCAGGAGCTCCGTCTCCCCGAACCAGGTCGCCCTCTTCGTGATTTCCGCGCGGTCACCCCTGACGCACAGCCGAGCTTCGGGCGCTGGACAGCTCGCGCCCCTACGAAAGACCCATCTTCAGCGCGCGCAACCACGGGCTGGCAGCCGACGGCAGACAGAAGCTCAAGCACACCTGGCACATCGACCACGCTCGCGCCGCTGCCAACGCAGACACGCACCACCTCGCCCTGATCGGCGGCTCCAACATCTCTGAGCTGCCGCCCCAGCGCCCCCCGCGCCCCGTCGACGCCACCACGTCGGGCCGCCACGACCACCAGCCCGCGCTCTGGGAACGGATCCTCGCATCACCGGTGGAGGTCGCCGCTCGCTGCACCGCCCGCCGCGGCTCGGGCCTGCAAGACGAAGGCCACCATCGACCGCTGCTTCATCTCCACCGCCGCCCTGGCCGCCCTCCTCCTCCTCCTCCTCCTCTCCTCCTCCTCCTCCTCCTCCTCCTCCTCCTCCTCCTCCTCCTCCTCCTCCTCCTCTTCGGTCGGGGGCGGGCCAATTCACGCTTGCCTCCCCGTTCCACGTGCCCCGCGCTGCTAGGGGTGGCCCATCCCACAACATCCCACCCCTGGGGGTTCACCTGACCGTCGACGGCCGCCCGCCCGAAAAAGCTGGCGAACCGGTCGGCCACCGCAGGGTTTCCCCTCTTCGCCTCCGCCCTCGGGCGCAACGCCCGCCTGCGGAGCGAGGCCTTCCTGCCTCCACCCACGGCTCCCATCATTGCAAGTTCTTACTTCTTGCGTTTCCTGGGCATCTCGGAATGGCGCACAACGAAGCACATCATGACCCCGGCGGCGCAGAAAGCTCGCGACGCCCACGCCAAGATACATCCCGCAGAGCCGAAGGACATCGACCCGCACATGTGTCAAGAGGCGCGGACCATGACGCTGCGCAGCATGGCTCGCGCCGCGTGGCCCCATGACTCCCAGCTCGCCGGGCCGCTGGCCGCGGGCACCGAAGCTGGCGCCACGTACCTTAACTTCGACAACGGTGAGATCTTTGTCTCCGACGCGGGCGACTTCGCGACCGCGGTCGACTCCGCGCACCTGGCTCTCGCTGACAAGCGTCGCCAGCAAGACGACGCCCGTTTTCGAGTTGATCTCCAAGAGCTGAGCCGCCAGCTCGGGGACGTGCGGCGACAGCGAGTCCGCCGTGCAGGGCAACGGCGCGAACTCTGGAAGCCGCTCGCCAAACGCATGGTCTTCGCTGGCACGCGCATCTCCACTGGCGCCCAGCGCCGCGTCGTCACCAACCCGACGGCAATTTACAGCGCAATCCAGGGCCACTGGAGCGAGGTCTTCTCCGCCCAGGCCGTCAACGTCTCTAACGCGAAGCGCTACCATGGTGGAGTCTTTCCAACTCGTGACCGCGTTGATCCACCGACCCCTGATCTCCGGGACCTTCAGGACGCCGCCCGCCAGGCAGGCGATTCTGCATTTGGACCTGGCGGATTTCCCTACCGCGCATGGATCAACTCCTCTAGCAGCCTCGAATCACTGACCGAGCTCCCCCTCTCGCTCGCGAACGGCGGCACGACCCCATTCGACCTGAACTACTCGACGAGGGTCGCGCTGCCGACGGAGACGAGCCTCTCGGCAATTACGACTGCACTGGGTCTTCTGACTGCCTACGCCCGCTCGCCCTGAAGACCAGCGACATCGAGCTCATCGACTCCGCCACGAACCGCAAGCTGCACCGCAACGCTGCCCAGACTGCGAAAGAACAGCTGGGCATTGTAAGCGGACGGCAGCTCCTGGATAAATATCGATTCGATCTCGCGCAGGCTTCGCATCTCCGAGGACGCCCGCGAGCTCGCGCCATGCTCCGCCAGCATGGATCTCGCGGCTGCCTTCCCCAGCCCACTGCATGACTGGCTCTGGGAGGTTCTCGAGCGTTGGGGCATCCACGGACCCATGCGCAAGTTGCTTCGATTCTGCTACCACATGCCATCCACCTTTCTCGAGACGGGCGGAGTTCGGCGCGCTCTTCTCATTGCCGAGTCAGGCGTCGCCCAAGGCTGCCCGCTGAGCGGCGCGCTGTGGGCGCTCATCTTCGACCCGATCATCCGAGCCGTCAAGTGCAAACTAGGCCGCATCGGCCACGGCCTCATCAGCGCACGCGCCGACGACTTGGACGTCATCTTGGCAGCACTACTCGAAATCGAAAAGCTCGCCCCCCACCAACAAGCTGCCCAACTCTTCGCTGGCATCCACCTGCAGGCTAAGAAATGCATCATCGTTCCGACCTGGGCTCTCCCCACCTCGCAGCTCACGGCGCAGCAGCTCCTCGCCGGCATCTACCCGCCATGGCGCGACTTCAGGATTGCCAGCTAGGCGGGGCACTTTGGTGCGTGCGTGGGCCCTGGCGCCTCTCTCTCACTGCGACGATGGAAGGGCCCCTCAAGCAAGCGGCGAGACAGAGCCCAAATGCTCAGGGTGCTCGCCCGCCGCTCCAGCAGAGAATCAAGCTGTGCAGCGTTGCCGCAGCCACCTGCCTCTGGCACATCGGCCAGCTGTGCCCGCCGTCGCCACGGTTCCTTGCCATCGAGCTCCACGCGCTGTCCAAGCTACAGGCGCGCTGCTCCATTCAGCTTCACCAAGATGGACATCCTTTTGATTCAAACGCTGGACTCAGGTTGAGATACCGCAGGGGCTCGAGACGTTGCCCTCAGCTACGATGTGGCGCACAGCCGCGAAAACGTTGAAGACGTGGCCCCGCGTTCCTCGCCTTCATCGCGCAGTTGCTGAAAACCGCCTTCCCATCTGCCAAGTTATCGACGGACGCTGGCGCGCCGACTGCTGCGAGAACAAGCTCTCAATCGCGGAACGCTTCTAGAATATTATGAACAATCAGCGCTTCCCGACGTGCAAGGGATCGCTCCACAAGACGCCCAGGCGCCCGCTAGGAGGGCCTGGCGAAGGCCCCCGGAGGCGCAAAACATTCGAAATGAAGTTTTCAGCACGTTTCCTTGACATGTCTCCCAAGCCCCACCTTGATGAGCGCATGGGCTCGCCAAGTGCACTGGCATCGGTGCCTCCTCCGCCGTCGTTGTCGTCGTCATCGTCGTCATCGTCGTCGTCGTCGTCACCGTCGCCACCGTCGCCGCCGCCGCCGCCGTCGTCCTCGCCGCCGCTGTCGTCGTCGCCCTCGTCGCCCTCGTCGCCCTCGTCGTGCGTGCATGGGCTCGCCAAGTGCAGTGACAGCGGTGCTTTTGGGCTCCCCCCCCCCGAGGCTGGCGCTGCGGCTGCTGCGGCAGCTCGGCTCCCGGAGGCGCCCGGGCCCGGCGGGCGCAGCATGGGCGGCGCGCGGCCCGGGCGGTCGCCGCGCAGACCTCGCGGCGCACTGGGCGCGCGCGCCGTGCCCGCCTGGGCAGGGCGGCGCGGGCGGCCTGGGCTGCGCACCGGGCCCAGGCGTCGGAGGAGGAGGAGGAGGAGGAGGAGGCGGAGGAGGAGGAGGGAGAGGAGGAGGGGAGAGAGGGAGGAGAGGAGGAGGAGGAGGAGAGGAGGGAGGGAGGAGGAGGAGGAGGAGGCGAGGAGGGGAGGAGGGGGAGCGAGGAGGAGGAGGAGGAGGAGGAGGAGGAGGAGTAGGAGGAGGAGGAGGAGGAGGAGGGGAGGGAGGAGGAGGAGGAGGGAGGAGTGGAGGAGGAGGAGAGGAGGAGGAGGAGGAGGAGGAGGAGGAGGGAGGAGGAGGAGGAGGAGGAGGAGGAGGAGGAGGGGGGGAGGAGGAGGAGGAGGAGGGAGGAGGAGGAGGAGGAGGAGGAGGAGGCGGAGGAGGAGGAGGAGGGAGCCCAAGCTCTGTCCGTCGCAGCGCGGCAGGGGGCAGCCCGCTCGCGTGCCCTTATAGTAGCCGAGGGGGCCCAGCCGTCCGGCGTCTCGAAGAAAAAAAATCGAGGCGGAGGTGTTTGTCATCCTTGTCGGTCCCGTCGGGGCCCTTGCCGGGCCCTGGGGCCATCAAACAATTACTCTTGACGCTCCGCGTAACCCCACCAGCTGCGTACTCTGAAGCTGCGACGGTTCGCTGGCGCTGTCAGAGTCCAACCTCTCCCTACGGTATGCAGTCAGGCGACAGCTTGCGCGTCTCTCGGACGCTTCTGCTATGCATATAGATTATATATTATATATATATACATACATATATATAAATAATAATATAATAATAAGAATTAATAATAATAATAATAATAAATATAATAATAATACTAATAATAAATACGAATAACAATAATAATAATACTAATAGTAATTATAATAATAATAATAATAATAATAACAACCATAATAATAATAATAATAATAATAATTATTATTATTATAAAAAAAGAGGCGATGCCCACAGGAGTCGCTCGCCTCTTGGAGCGTTTGGGGGGCCTCTTGGCGGTCCCGGGGGCCTGGGAGCCTCTTGGAGTCTCTTGGGGGCCCTTTGGAGCCTCTTGGGGCCTCCTGGGCGCCTCTTGGGGCCCTCTTGGGGCGCTCTTGGTAGGCGCTCTTGGAGTCATCTTGGAGGAGATCGATCAAACAAGGGGGGTACTTAATTAGCCCTGCCCTTTTACAGTGCCCACATTCGTCTCTTGGACCCCCTTGGTGCGCTCTCGGGCGCTCTTGGGGCCGTCTTGGGGCTCTCTTGGATCTCTCTGTGGGCCCCCATGGGCCCTCTCGGAGCTGTCCTGAAGCGTCGGAAGGCGATCGGAAGCGAAAAAAGCAAGAAGGCAAAATGCATTGATTTTCCCTTGTGTGTTTGAAGGATGTTGGCCCCTTGGCGGCCTCCTGGGGAGGCTCCGTGGCCACTCGGAGCCGTCTTGGAGCGGTCTTGGGGCCTTTTGGAGCATCTTGGAAGCCATTGAGCCATCTTGGGCTATTTGGGGCCATGTTGGAAGTCATCTTGGGCTCTCTGAGGCCCTCCTGGAGCCATCTTGGGCCATCTTGGACGCTCCAACGACCCGCGACCCCACCCCTCCAGGTCCAGGGGAGGGGGGAAGGGGGAGGGACAAACCCCTCCCCGAAGGGAAAGAGGGAGGGGTGGAAGAGAAAACGACCTGGACCACCTACGCCCAGAGGGCTGGTGGGATTCGGGATGAGAAACTGGTCCCGGGAAAGTGGTCGAGAGGTCGGATGCCCGCGTCTCGAAATCATCGAGACGTCGGATGTCTGGGAGGCGCCTCGAGATTCTGGTCAGAACGCACGCCCAGAGAGGTCTGGGGAGTACGGTTGGGGCGTTGGTTAAGGAATGTGCCCAGGAGGCTTCAGACCCTGGGGAATTCCTTGATTTGGTGAAGGCGGCAGTGATATCCATGGCCCGGTGCCAATCCACGATGACCCGTGGCCAATCCACGATGAGAGTTCTGCCATACTTCCAAGCCCTGGATCCCTTAATTATCCAATGGTTCCTTGTCCCCAGACCCCCGACGTCATGATGTTCTCATAACGTCGACCCTCAGAGGTCTCGACCCGTTCCCCTGGACCAGTTTTCCGTCCTGAACCGCTTGTTGACGGCCCCGAGGGCCGGTAAGGGCCCCCAGAGGGTGAAAATTCTGAAAAGCCTCCCGTCATGATTTTGTCATTGCCCGAGGGGGTCTGGGTCCAAGGCCCTCAGCGTCAGGGCTGGACCTAAACGGTGTTTGGGCGATTCCGTGGGCCGTCTTCGTTTCGACTTCGTTTTGCGTGACAGGCGGATTGAAGACAACGAGGGACAACGAAAACGAAACGAAAACGAAAAACACCGTTTCGGTTCAGCCCTGCTCAGCGTAGCGGTAATGGAGGATGACGATTAATCAATGACCGGGGGTCGTGTTCACGCGGCGGCGCCCGGGATGACGATTAGAAAAAAACTGCCGCGGGCTGGAAACATACTTTTTCAAGCGTTCTCCTCCAGTCAGAAAATGATGCAGAAATAGCCGAAAACTATGTTTTGAACAGTTCTCTCCCATTAAAAAAAAAAAATCGTCATCCCGTATTAGGTTCAGCCCTGCTCAGCGTAGCGGCATCGATGCACGCCGGTGCCCCCCGAGGAGGCCCCCCGGCGGCAGAGGCGGGAGGCGCTCGCTCTGCGGGGCCGGGCCTGGCGATGGGCAGCGCCGGGGCGGGTCGGCCGGCGGGGGGGCGGGGGGAAGACGTCGGGGGCCTCGAGACGGGGGTCAATGCAAACGGGGGTCAGCCAGGGCACCGGATCCTGCAGGATCCTGCGGAGGCCCCCTCTGGCTGACCCGGGTTAGGGAGCCGCTCGTGGCCGCGAGGCGGCCGCGCCTATTGGCTGACCTGGGTTTGCGAAGACCTGCGTTGCAGTTTTTTTGTCCCTGCATTGCAGTTTTTGCTTTCCTGCTGACCCCGGTCTGGATTGACCCGGGTCAGAAGATCCCCGAAGACGGGCGTGTGCCTCTACCTTGGCATCGCTCGGATGTGTGCATTTTTCCTTCGGCAGGGACCATCGAGGAGCATTCTTGATCCTCTGGCGAAAAAACCACGCACGGAACCGAAAAAAACACAGGGAACGGACGTCCGAGCGATGGCTAGCTACAGGAAAAGAAGTCCAAAACAGTCAAAAAGGTAGTCTGGGGGGATGTTGTTTGTTCGATTTGTTTTACAACAAAAAGTGTGGACTATGTTGGAGCATGTTTGGGGTATTCCTTTCATGTTTCGTGCGAGATCCGCCTGCAGGGGGACACGCCCGACCTGAGGGTATAGTTAAGTCGGGCCTGTCCCCCTACAGGGGGATCCTCGACGAAAAATAAGACACACCCCACAAATAATCAAAAAATAGTCTAAAGACAGTCCGGGGACTATTTGGGGGGTATATCTTTTCTGACCTTTTTGGGATATGTTTGGGGTATTCTTTTCTTTTTCGTCAAGAATCCGCCTGCAGGGGGGCACGCCCGACCCGAGGATATACAGGGTGGCTCCGTGCCGTGCCGGCGCGGCGGCGGCCCCAGCGCGGGCGCTCTCTCACGGTTGCACTCCGCCGCTGCCCAGAAGGGGCCAGCCTCGCACGAGCTGCGCCAGCGTCAGGCCGGGCGTGTCCCCCTGCAGGCGGGGTTCCCAGACCTCCTGGCGTCGTGAAAAAATCACGACGGGAGGTTTTTCGGTATTTTCTGCCTCCGGGGGCCCTCGCCGGGCCTCGGGGCCGTCAAAAAACGACTCAGGACGAGAAACCGGTCCCGGGGAAAGGGTCCAGACCTCTGGGGGTCGACGTCGCAAAAAAATCACGACGTCGGGGGTCTGGGTTCGGGGCGAAGAGCTAAACATATTTTTAAGCATATCCCAAGAGAGTCAAAAAAAAGACTCAAAAAAGAGTCCCCGTCGTATTTGGGGCGAAGAATTCCAAAATATGTCAAGCACCTCCCAGAAGAGTCAAAACAACTCCTCCAAAAACAGTCCCCGTTTCGTGTTTGGGCTGCTCTTGGATCTCCCCCTCTGCAGGGGGACAGGCCCGACACCGTTCCAGGATGAGCGGTCCACGCCGCGTCGGCAGCCCACGCCGAAGCCGTCACGACACGAGGTTGCCGTACTCACCACCCACCACACCACCCCAACCCAACCCGAAGGCTCAGATTTACCCTCGATTTCTAGTGGGGGGGGGGGTCGGGACACATCGCAGAAACACATGTGGAACCCTTACCCCCCCCAACCCGAAATTCGGGTCTTCGGGTTGGGTTGGGGTGGTCTGGTAGGTAGTCACGTACGCACGCTCGGCCGAAGATCGCCTCCGCTGGGCTCGCTTCCGCGCGGTCCCTTCCGCCCGCGGCTCCGCGCTTCGTCCGCGCTCCGCTCCATCGCGAAGGCCGGCGTCTGCTTGGGCCCCAGCGCGCCGCCGATCCGTCTCGTTCCTCCTCCTCCTCCTCGCTCCTCCTCCTCCTCCTCCTCCTCCTCCTCCTCCTCCTCCTCCTCCTCCTCCCCCTCCTCCCCCTCCTCCTCCTCCTCCTCCTCCTCCTCCTCCTCCTCCTCCTCCTCCTCCTTCTCTCCTCCTTCTCTCCTCCTTCCTCTCCTCCTCCTCCTCCTACTCCTCCTCCTCCTCCTCTCCTCTCCTCCTCCTCCCCCTCCTTCCTCCTCTTCCCAACCAAGTGCCCCCGACGTCGTGGTGTGTCGTCGCGGCTGGGGGCCACCCCCCCCCCCCGGAGTCTGGCACCTTCCCCCCCGGGGAGAGCGGTGTTTCCTCCCAGGTGCTTCTGCGGACGGGGCCCCCCCCCCCCCCGGGGCCCGGCGAGGGCCCCACACGGGGCTGAAAAGTGGCCCTCCTCTCCTCCTCTCCGCCTCGTCCGCCTCCTCCTCCTCCTCATGGAACGTAGCGACGTTTATCCGGCCGCCCACGTCTGAGCTCTGCGTTGCCGCGCTCGGGTGTCAAAGTGGTTCGAGCTCGCGTCTCTGCGCTTCGTGGAGTGGATTTATAGCCCCCTTGAGGGGAAGCGGACTTGCCATCCAGAAAGAAAAAACAAAAAAAAAAAAAAAAAAAAAAAACCGGGGCTGAAAAGTGGCCACGAGCAGCCCATGGTGAGCGTTTCGCGGCGAGGGGAGGTGAGGACTGGCCCGCGCTCGCCCCGCTCTGGCCCGGTTCCGCTCGGCTCGTCGCCGCCCGCGAGCTCTCCTCGCCCGCCGGCTGCCCCGCGGGTAGGTTTCAGTCGGGCACGTCCCCATACAGGAGGAAGCTTCAAAAATGGTCAACAAATATCAGGAGGAAAAAGAGCACACAGACACAATTAATCCTCGATTCCCCAGAAAATATAGGAAAATATGGGAAGTGGGGGGGGAAGACAGAAACCCAGAAAATATATGGAAATATTGGGAATATTTTTATTTGTGTGTATTTATTTGTGTGTCCCAGGGCCCCTTCAAAATAGTCGAGTGACGATGTTTGTTATCTGTTTGTTCTTGCATTTTTCGTCCAAAAATCGGGAGGTTGGGAGTCATGTCCGACCTAGAGGTAGGTACGCTGGGGGCGGTGGTTCAGGAATGTGCCCGGGAGGCTTCAGACCCTGGAGGCTTCCTTATCTCATGAGGGCGACGGTCATAGCCATGGCCAAGCCTCGGTTGGTGATCCGCCCGCTTCCAGAACCTGGGTTCCTTATCCAAGTTCCTTATCCAATGCCCTCACCGTATCCCAACGCACGTCGGGCAACCATACGGGTTACATGTGGGATTTCTCCCTCTCGGGCGCGTGCTGCCCTCGCACTGCTCTACTCTAGCCGTTCATGCGCCCCCGTTGCGCGATCGATGCGGTAAAAACCTAGGTGGTCGTCTTCCTCCTCTCCTCTTCCTCCTTCAGTCCCCCAACAGCTAGGGAAAGGGGGGGTTACGAAATCTGCTGCATGCAGCTGGTTTCGGCCCCGCCGCCGGGCCCATTCCTCGATGCATCGGCGCCGGGAGGCGCCGGGAAAATCAGCTACGTGAGCTGATTCTCAAACCCCCCCTTTGCTATCCCCCCCTTTCGCTCGGCCCGATATTGGGCGGAAGGAGGGGGGCGGGGAGGGAGGGGTCTGGCTCCGGACCTCTGCTCAGGGCGACTGTTCGGGGCCGTGCGCCCCGCTGGGGGAGGCTCCGCCTGCTCGAAGCAGGCGCCCAAACAACAGCCACGCTCTACTCCAGGGGGGTGGGGGCGAGGGGGGGCGGGAGGGGGGATGGCGAGGGCCCGCGCCGATCGGCCAAACAATGGACATAAGTCGGGCCGGGCGAAAGGGGGGGATTGGGAAAGGGGGGGTTACGAAATTCGCTGCATGCAGCTGGTTTCGGCCTCACCGAGGGGCCCATTTCTCGATACATCGCCGCTTCTGGCGCCGGGAGGCGCCGGGGAAATCAGCTACGTGAGCTGATTCTCAACCCCCCCCTTTGCTATCCCCCCCTTTCGCCCGGCCGGAATAAGACAGCGACCCCCTTCCTCGCCGCAGCTGCATCGCCTCGGCCCTGCGGCCGGGCGGGGCGGGCGAGCTCCCCCCCCCCCCGGGGCAGGCAGGCCCCGGGGCGGGCAGGGGGGGGGGGGCGGGCGGGTGCCCTGCTCGCTCCGTGGGAGCGCCGGGCTCTCCCGAGGGGGTCCGCGCGCGCCTGCGCAGCTCGCAGGGCAACGATGCGGGGGAAATAGGCGTAGGGTTCTGTCGGGCCTGGCCCCCTACCCAGACCCCCTCGAGTTATGAAAAAATCACGACGGGAGGTTTCTCACTATTTTTGGCTTTTGGGGGCCCTTACCGGCCCTCGGGACCGTCAAAAAACGACTCAGGACGAAAAACCGGTCCCGGGGAATGGGTCGAGACCTCGGGGGGTCGACGTCATGAAAAAATCATGACGTCGGGGGTCTGGGTACAGGGGGGATTTTCGACGAAAAATCAAACATACCCCCAAAAAATGATCAGACAATAGTCCAAAAACAGTCTGGGGGCTATTTTTGAAAGCAGTCTGGGGGGGATGCATCGACCCCCAATCGCCCATTGATCGCCGATATCGCAAGCCTCGAGGTTGGCACCAGCACCAATGTCGGCGGCGTGCCTCCACCGAGGGAAGAGGATCCCGGTCTCGGTGATGGTGGTAATATTCTGGCTTCCAAGGTGGCCGAACTATTACCACCAGCACCGAAATCTAGGATCATCATCCCGGGCAACGATGCGGGGGGGGAGGCACAGGGTTATGTCGGGCATGGCCCCCTACAGGGGGGATTTTCGACGAAAAATTCAACATACCCCCCAAAAATAATCAGAAAATAGTCCAAAAACAGTCTGGGGGCTATTTTTGAAAGCAGTCTGGGGGGGGTGCAGCGACCCCCAATCGCCCATTGATCGCCGATATCGCAGGCCTCGAGGTTGGCACCAGCACCAATATCGGCGGCGTGCCTCCACCGAGGGAAGAAGATCCCGGTCTCGGTGATGGTGGTAATATTCTGGCTTCCAAGGTGGCCGAACTATTACCACCAGCACCGAAATCTAGGATCATCATCCCGGGCAACGATGCGGGGGGGTAGGCGCAGGGTTATGTCGGGCCTGGCCCCCTACAGGGGGGATTTTCGACGAAAAATTCAACATACCCCAAAAAAATAATCAGAAAATAGTCCAAAAAAGGTCTGGGGACTATTTTTTAAAGCAGTCTGGGGGGGTGCATCGACCCCCAATCG